AATAATAGTAATGTATGAGTATTTCTACGGGTACCGTATATTTCAGTGAATAGTAGTAACATGGGATCGGTAAATTTGGCGCACGCATTGGCGCAATGGGTACTCGCCGCGGGCATTTCCGATCAGCACCAGTATGAGGTAGGAGCATACAGGAATAGAAGAGCACAACGGGGCGTTCAGTGCCAGGCTTTTATTGTTACACGAGAGAAGGAAGCACATCGGGGCACATAGCATTCACGTACACATGCGCATGTATATATTTCCTGTGTTTCTCTTACATTGTAGGACATGGTGTGGAACAAGACCAAGGATGTAATGAAGGAATTTGTGGACTACATGAACACTGAGGACATAACATCGTATGCAGCGAACTGTGATAACACAGGATGGGAGCACTACGCGTATAAGAAGGGTGAAAAATTAGTAACACAGACAGTCGGAGATAGAATTGTATGCGTACTTATGGTAGGGGCCTTATTTTTCATGAATTGGGGGAATACTACAGCATCGAGTAAGCACAAAGAAGATGAGAACAGTGCAAAAATAACGGAGCACTTACGATGCATAATAGTACATATGTTCGGCGAAATATTAAACGAATCCGTGTGCAGAAGTAGGTGGGGTATATTTTATGCATGGAAACAAATGGAAGAAATGGACAGTGGGAAGGAAAGTTTTTCGGCAGGATTAATAAACCAGGGGACATGTGGTAGAGAAATATTTCCGGATTTGAAAACACCGAATCTTAAGTTAAATGTACAAGTCAAGAAATGGTTAGCGGAGAACAGCAGACTAGAGAGACGGCTTAAACAAGTGAAGGGGACTAACACATGTAAGACAACATGGCAGAAGGAATGGAAAATAGCGGATTTCTTGAACAATGAGAAGATGGAGAATAAGCACAACTTGGAAGTTACTAGCATGGTGCGCGACGTGAAGGAGGCCATGAAGGAAATATTAGAGGAACTTGAGAAACACGTAGAGCGCGGCGTAGAACAGAGGGAAGAGGCGAAGCGAGCGCAGTTAGGTAAGGCATGGCATGTTCCGCCAGAATTAGACAGATTAGAACACATCAGGAAAGATAAGTAAAGAGATGACAACTACAGACAGTTTCGAAGTAAAAGGGAGAGAGCAACGCGACACAAGATGGAGATGTGTGAACAACGTTCATTCCTGTGTACTTCCAAGAAGACGAACAGTACATACTGACACTTCTAATTCCCATTTTTGCCCTTTATTGCAGCGAACCATGACAAAAACCAACAGGCCGGCGCCTCCAATGCAGCAACACCACAGGGATCGGCAGGTAAGGACCGATGGGAGAAAGCACGAATACGGCCGCTACCGATACGACTGCGCACGAATATGGATGCCGCCACCACAACAACGCACTTGTGAACAACACGTACGGCCGGCCAACGGACAACAACGGATTTTTAAATAAATGGCCGCATATGGATGCCGCCACCACCACCACGCGCACGCGGCCACCACAACAACGCACAAGCTCACGCACAAACATTACCGCG